CCCCAGCCCTGCCCCCAGCCCTGCCCCCAGCCCTGCCCTGCCTCTGTGGGGGGTACCCCCCCCCGCTCCCCCCCCCCCCCCCCCAATTACCTCCTCCCCTGCCCTTGGCACTGCCCCGAGCCCCACCTGTCCCAAACCCTGTCCCCTCACCTGTCCCAGCCTTGTCTCCACCCCACCCCTACTCCCACCTCCATTCCCCTCCCCATCCCTATCACTGCCCATACCCCCATCCCCACAGCGTTCCCTATCCTTTATCCCTATCCTTTATCCCTGTCCCTTATCCCTAACCTTATCCCTGTCCCTTGTCACTACCCTTGTTCCTTATCCCTTTCCCTTATACCCATCCATTTTCCCTTATCCTTTATCCCTATCCCAACCCCTGTCCCCATCCCTGTCCCTGCCCTTATCTGTGGCCATGTCCCTGTCCCCATATCATTCCCTAGCCCTTACCCCTACCCATACCCCTTATCCCTTATCCCTACCCCATCCCTATCCCATTCCCTATCTTTATCCCTGCCCCATCCCTATCCTTATCCCTATCCCATTCCCTATCCCTACTCCCGTTCTCCCTCCCCGAGGCCCGGGACAGGCGCTGTGGCCGCTCCGGCCGCTCCCTCCCGCTGTTTACGGCCAACACGGGGCCGACGGTGCCTCCGGTGTCCCTTGTGTCTCCGGTGTCACCTGTGCTGCCGGTGTCACCTGTGTCGCCGCTGCCTCAGGTGCCGCCGGGTCCGCGGGCGGGGCCGTCCGGGCGGGCGGGCCGGGCGGGGGCCGGGCCGGGGTACAAAGCCCGGGGCACTGGTGCGTCCTGCCCGGCCCCGCCGTGCCCGTGACCGTGTCCGTGACCGTGTCCGTGACCGTGACCGTGCCATGGCCGCCACCAAGGCACCGGCAGCGGCGGCAGCGCTGGCGGCCGCCCGGGAGCACGGGCTGGCCGTGAGCAGAGACTACAGCAGCAACCCCCGGCTGAGTGAGCGGGGGGCACGGGGGGCACGGGGGGCACGGGGGGCACGAGGGGCACGGGGGGACTGGGCGGAGAGCGCCGGGGGCGGGCACGGCACCCCTGTGTCCCCGGGCAGGGTGGGCGCCGTGGGTACCCCGGGGAGGCAGGGACGAGTGGGTGACACCGGGCAGAGGTGGGTGGGTGGCACCGGGTCGGGAAGGGATGGAGGTGGCACCGGGACAGGCAGGGGGGACGGGGATGGCAGCGGGGCAGGAAGGGACGGGGGGGTGACACCGGGGCAGGCAGGGGTGAGAGGGTGGTACAGGGCCCGTGTGTGTCTCTCGGGGGGCACAGGGCCCGTGTGTGTCTCTCGGGGGGCACAGGGGCTGTGTGTGTCTCTCGGGGGGCACAGGGGCTGTGTGTGTCTCTCGGGGGGCACAGGGGCTGTGTGGGGCTGTGGGGGTACAGGGGCTGTGTGGGGCTGGGGGGTGCCCCCCTCCTGGGCTCCACACTGCAGGGGCCAGGGAAGGTGTCCCGGCCCCCCGAGGGCCGTGGGGTGCGCGGGGGCTGCGGTGACCCCACAGGGGTGCGGGGGTGCCCCGGGTGTCCCTCTCCCCCGCCCCGACAGGGTGTGGGACCCGCCAAGGTGTCCCTGGGGTGAGCCACGCGTGTCGGGGGGTGGGGACGTGTCCATCGAGGGGACGTCGGTGTGACACCAGCGGGACTTTGTGTCACGCCCGTGGGTGCTCCGTCCGTCCCCGGGTGCCCCCCGTGGCTCCTGGGGGGCTGGGGGCTCCTGAGGGTCTGGGGGCTTCTGGGGGCTCAGCGCTGGCACCCTCAGCCCCTCACCCTGGGCCGCTCCCCCATCCCACCCCGACCTCGGGGAGCCTGGCATGGTGCCCGCCCCACATCGGGGGGTGGGTGAGCCCCCCAGCACCCCCCAGCGCCCCGTCCCCGACCGCCCACGGCA